ATTTTTTCGTTGCTGCAGTTTGGGTGTTGGTTGTTACAGTAATTGTGGTAAGAGTAAGGCCCTGGCCACCAACGTGTACTTGTTTCTACGCTTCTCCTTCATAATGTACATGTAGCAACTCAATTCCACTTGCCTGTTTGAAGGCCCGAGATAGCGTAGTCCCCTAATATATTAGTAGGGAAGATAGAAGCTCCGAACCCTTGCTGTTAAAAGATATCTTGAGTTTGATTATATCACAACTGTTTCCAAAATGGATTTGTCATGATGTCATTATTACATGTATACAGTAAGATACTGGGAAAAGAAAAGCATAGTATTAAAGGGACAGAGGAAGCAAATTTGTTAATAAAACATTAACTTTAGATCTGAGCTTCCTAGCCACTAAGACAAAAATAGACCTACATAGCATATTTTGTATTACCTAGGAGGCAGGTTCCAAAGAATTAGACTTGTCCCTGCCACTAAATTCTATAAGGAGTTCATCATCTGGAACCTGTTCTAGGGAATATTAAATTATCTAGTACCTTCAATAATGGTTTTATAAGAAGTTCCTCTATGTGTCAGTGTTGTTGGTTTTCTTTTTTTTAGCAGAGACCTTAATAAAGGCATTGTATTGAAGGGTTGTATCATAGAGGATAAGTTAACATGATCCAAACTTAAGATCTGTGTGTAAAAATTTTTCATTGAGATGTTGGTATAGCCTGTTCTTTACATGATCTTTTTTTAAATATTTGCTTGACCCTACTCTGCCAGTGTCTCCTGCCATGGCTGAATCACGTTTTCAGACTTATATCTAGATAACTGGCACTTGTGTTAGCGTCTCTGAGGTTTAATTTTTGCATTTACATCGTTGAGCTAGCTGGAAATTTAGTTTAAGAAATAAGAATCCAAATTTCCCTTTATCCCAACAATATCAATAAATAGCATTGGATAGAGAATTGAAATTTAAAAAAGTTACCGATTTGATGTATAATTCAAGGTGTTTTGTAAAATGTAATCAATGCTCCAATCTTGATAGGAACATTCTCATCACCCCCAAAGTTCCCTCATGCACCCCACCCCTCTCCCCACCCTTGCACCTCCTCCTAAGGCCGCCCAGTTCTGCTCTGAGCTGGAGCCAGGGGCCTACCTCAGTAGGAATTAGAGGCCTCGGGAGAGGCCCTCCACTGCCAGTGCGTCCGGGTGCCAGGGCAGGATGGAACGTGCGGCCAGGGCTTGGGCTGGTTCCTCACGAGTGGGGACAGGCTGTGTCTAGAATGCTGTGAAGTGGCTCATTGAGGCCACTCGGTCCAATTCTCTACCTAGAGGCAGGTTCTGCCAATCTCAGCACAATTGAAGGTGCCCATTTCTTGAGCCCGCTATGGTATCAGCGGCGTCCAGGAAGCAGGAGCTTGCTTTCATGATCTTGGGCCAGTCGCTCACTTCTTGGAGTTCGTTTGTGGAAAGGACTTCCTCCCAGGACTCAAGCGTCAACTCACCCCCGGACTCCTGTGACCATGATTCCCCAGCCCCGCTCAGCCACCACGGGGACCCTTATGCAGAGCTAGTACTTTCAGGGCAGGAAGTAGGTGGGTCAGTTGTGCAGAGACTCGGCCCAGGGTTGAAGGCTTCCTGGGGCATCCAGAGGCCTACTGGCCTCCCCACCCCCAGCCAAGACTCCTACATCTACCCTTGCCTTCCAGACACAACCTGCATTTAGGACTCTGGAAGCAGTATTTGAGGGCACGGGCTAGTTTCGTACACTTGAATTAACATTCTCCAAGGGCCCCAGGGAGACTGCCAGCTCCTGGCACTTTCACCAACTGGGAATGAGAATCATTCCAGTTTATGTTTATGCCGTATTTGCCGGTGTTTAAGAGCATCTCTTCGACAGTCCCACGAGGCAGGAAGGATAGGTATTAGCCCTGCTCAGAGATGAGACTATGAGGACTCGGGCATCGCATGACGTGCCTGTCTCCTAGCGTGTGTGTTGGGGGCGGGGGAGGGTGGGGCAGAGCTGGGACCAGACTCTTGGGCTTTGCTCAGGTCTGCAGTCACCACCCGGTGACCCTCCCTCTGTCTTCACTCGGGGGCTTGAACTAGCAAACCTGGGAAGGAATGCGAACTGAAACAGAAATAACCTTCCTTCGTGTTATGTACAGACACTTTCTGTATTTCATTTAATAATGCTGGTCATGGGCCCCTAGGCCGATTTCATGCCTCTCGAAAGGGTTGTGACCACAGTGTGAAAAAACCTCTGCCGTGGAACACCCAGACGACGAGGGCTCGTTTACTTTTGCTGCTTTTTGAGAAACCCGGCTTTTAGAATTCCCGCCTTCGTTTCTTCTTGCATTTAAGTCAAGTCTGCTCGCTCGCACACATTACTGAAGGATGAGGCATAAAACACGGCAAGTGTTCAGCCCTTGGTGCTCTCACCTGAAAGGAACCCGCTCCACTGCCTGTTAACCTGACATTTAGTGGTTGATTTTATGTGCTGCTAGCCAGTTCTGTCACGCCAGCTGTGATTCACTGTTCCAGAGGATGAAAGGCACTGGTTTTGTAGCTGCAGTTGCATATTATGTACACAAGGCCTCCTCCTTGGCTGGAGCTGGTTGGGAACACCTCCCACACTTGCTGTGTAGGGTCAAATCCCAGCTCTGCTACTTGCCAGCTCTGTGACTTTGGACCAGTACCTTAGTTTCTCCATCTATGAAATGGGGATGGTAACAGTGCCCGCTTCACTGGGATACTGTGAGGATTAAATCAGTTATTACGCGTAAGACATGTAGAACAGTCCCTGGTGCCCTGCAAGCGCTCAGCACCTGCCAGTCGGCATGGCTGCTTGGGCCTCAGTGGACAGGCTGGGCTCCCAGGGGGTCACCTGGCTCCGTGTTGGGTCCTGGTCCTGTGTGCTGCTGGCATCTCCCAGGACCAAAGGGCTGCAAATAACCTCTTATCTGATCTGTCTCATCTTTTGTTTCTGTGTGTGAATCCCTATAAATAAGCAAGGGCCACTTCAGACATAACTTACCAGGTGGCAGAAACGCAGTAAGAAATGGTACAGTTTTGTCTGCAGCACTCTTTTGGATATTGCTTGAAGCAAGTGGGCTACTCAACTTGGAAAGCTTGCCAGAGATTTTATCATGATGTGGTCTGAGCTACGTGTTAACACATAGTTAGCACAGTATCAATAGAATTTTAGATTTAATTCTATACAATAGTTAATTTATTTCTGCATGTCATTGAGCTCCTACAAAGACTTTTGTCAGCAGACTTTGTCATTTATCCATCCATACAATCACTACATTCTATAAAGAATGTCTGTCTAAGCTTTCCTTTGAGGTGTTCAGCAGGCAAAAGCAAGTGTTCCCAAGGAATTCTCAGGGAAGAGGTTGTTACAGCTCATATTCCTCGGTAATGAGGGTGAAATTCAAACGCCCTAAGATATGAATCAAACACTTGGGCATCCCAGCTCCAGCTCTGAGCTCTAAGCCCCTCCGCAGTTGCGTGGCCCAGATGAACAGCACAGCCTGGGACCTCACCCGGGGCCGGCTATGACTGGCAGGGGTCCCCCTGCCCTCGTCGCCTGGACCGGGCCCCGAGCAGCCCAGGCCTTCCGGGTCCCGCTCCAGAGCAGGCTGACCGCTTGCAGCCCTTTGTGACTTGGCTCCTGCTGCCGCTTCCTAGGACGGGACTGCCTTGCCAGCGAGACCACTGGGCCCTCTGCTGAGCTGGCCCTGCCGCTGCATTGGCCTGTACGGCCAGCCCAGGCTCCTGTCGCCCGTCGCCTGTCGCCTTCGGGGCTCCTCGGGGGCAGGGTCTGTTGTTCTGGGAAGGCAGGGTCGAAAAAGGCTTAAGCCTTTGTTTTACTGCCTGTGAAATGAACTGGTTGTACTAAGTCAGTGGCTTTGTGACTTTTTTTTTAAAGCAGAACACTAAAAAATAAATAAATAAAATCCCAGAGAACATTCTGAATAGAATCCCGGCATACAAAACAGGGGAAGCAGAGCTTCCATGATGGGGGATGGGGGGCACAGCCAGGGCAGTCCCTCTTCTGGCACAGCGGGGGGCCCCCCCCCGCCCCCTTCACAGCTTCTGAGATGGAGATTCTAGGCCTCTGAAAAACAATTTGAGAAACCGTTTAAAAAAAAACCATTCCAAATTAGCATTTAACTCTTTTCTCAACTGTAAGATGAAGAGGCTGTAGAGCCTCTCAACTGTAAAGAAAACAGAGGCTGTAAATGGCCTTGGGAGGCCCTGATGCCTGCGTATGAAGGATGTGGGCACACAACGTGGAAAGACACTCAGGGCTGGGCCCCAGCGAGCTATGGCCTGGGGGACAGCCTGGACCTTCCTGGGCCTCAGTTTCCTCACTTGTAAACTGAAGGAACCAAATTGGGCCACCTTTTAGGATTTTTTCCCAGTAAAATACTTGTGTGCTTTTGTATGATTCTATGAGCTGTCTTTTCTGGAAATCTGTGAGGATGGAAGAGACACCCATGCAGCTGGGGGACCAGTGAGGAAATCGCAGGCGGCCTGGTCCAGGGAGACCCACCGTCAGCAGCGAGGCGGCCGGCACCGCGCGGGGGGCGTGGAGAGCCCCCTGGAGCAGCTGGGCTGAGGCCATCCGGCGCCCTGGTGTGAAGGGCAGCCACACCAGCCTCAGCGACAGGTGCCTGGAATCTGCAGACGCAGGTCCAGCAACCCTGAGACCCTCAGAAGCTGAGTGAGGGCTGGGTGACAAGGCAAACGGCCACCTGTCTCCTCTGACAAGTGTCAGCTGAGCGAAGAGCACCTTTCCTGATAACGCACGACATGCACAGTCAACCCTCAACTCTGCAGGGCTGACACCGTCAAGAGATTCCAATCCTGACAAGAACTTTCTATCTATGTATTCTTTTCGCGGTGTGACGTTTAATAGCTCTCATTCCAAAGCACAGTATAGAAAAGGGAATTAAGAAAATACAACTTTTTTCTTTTAGTGAGAAATGTTAATTATGACCACTAAAACTATAACCAACGTCCACGTTCAAAAGAGTGACCTTTGCAAAGAGTGTCCTGGGGGTGCAGAGATAACTTGAAGGGATGTGAACACCCAGTACGAACAAGAACAGTTGATGCTTGGGGCTCAGTGTCTTACACTCAAGTGTCTCAGAGCTTCAGCCTTCTCAGGATGGGACCCACATGTTCCCGTGTGTATCGGGGGCTTTGGTATAAGGAATGTTCCAAATCCACGGCCGATCTGAAAGGAAAAAAAACACATTACATATGTATGATATTTATTTGAACAGGGTTGCAAAGAATTCACTCACCAGATGGGACCTGTACACTCATGTGCTGGAGGGTGTAGACTGCAGGGAACCTTTTCTGAACCAACCCCAGACAACAGCCCATTTCAGAGCAAGTTTTCAGTAAAGGTTTGGTTTAAGACGGGGTGGGTGAATGCAGACGCAGGCAAGCCGAAGCCCGGGGCGCATTCTGGCTTGCCGCTCACACTGCCAGGCCGCCTCTCCTTTGGATGCCTCGGTTTCCCCATCAGCACCTACACTGCGGGGCTGTCATGAGGATTAGATGAGAGAAATCTGTGTGGTGTGTAAGACACAGCGTCCAGCAGAAAGAGAACCGCATGAAGAACCGAACCCATATTCAAATCCTGCCTTTGCTTCTCTGCACCCTGGCGGCAGCATTTGGAATCCGGCCTCAGGCTCCTCATCTGGGAAATGGGAACCAATGACATTAGCAGCCTCCCAAGATTATTATGAAGCATAAATGAAGGAACACCTGTGAAAGTTCCTGGCATGTTGTAGATGCTCAATAAATAGAAACTTTTCTTCCTTTTAACTGATGTTTCGGAAACTGAAAACCACCTGAACAAAGCACTTCCAGCACGCATTGATACTGCTAGAGTCAAGCCATTTCGAAAGAACCGTCAGGAGACAGGTAGAGGGTAAACACACTGTAGGGACTACAAATAGATGCCCCTACGACCGTCCTGCTGAGTGAGAGAGAACAGGCCTGAGCACTGGCAGTGAACGGCCCACTGACGCTGCCGCTGCCGCCGTCTCGGGGAGGCGCCTGCTCACCACGGCACCTGCTGCTCTCCTCGCAGCCTCGCTGTGTACGGTAATTGCAGGGTGAGCACTGAAACAGCAGGAAAACGGTAATGGAAAAACTGATAAAAAGAAAAAAAGAAAAAAGGAAAAGAATGCCAAAGGTGGCAACAAGTTATCAGAACCCTGTTCTCTTGTCTTTGGATGGGCTGAAAGCATGAAACCACACATTTTTCTGGTAATTAACAAGCTTGTGAGAGGGCTGGGAACCTGGGCCTGTGCTACGTGCTTGTTTCATAAACAGGGAGCGCCTGGCAGGGCTGGAGACTTGACTCCCCGTGATCCTCGTGGGCCCTAAGAAAGCGCTGGCTCTCTTCTGTTGGGGGTGCCATCTTCTGTGGCTGCACTTCCATTTTCACCCATCTTTCCCTGCAAGCTGCTGTTGGCTAACCTGCTAACCCAGGTCTGCTTCACCCCAAGGCAGAGGACACCCCATTCTTGCCACAGGAGTGGCTATTAGAGAGACTCTTCCCCAATGCAGGCTTTGTGATGCAAACATTTGCCAGCCAGCAGTAACTTCAAGGCTAGCACTGCATTTCCTTCTCTCCCTTGAAACCAGCCAACAGTGACCGAGCAGGACCTGGAAACCACCCTACTGGTGAAATCCCCACGCTCTGCTTTGGGACTAAATGTCTGCATCTGCAGGCAAACTGCTTCCCATGTGGGCGGAAAGGCCCTCCACTGCCCTGGGGGAAAGCCACAAAAAAGGCCAACAGAAAGGTGAAGAGAGGGTGTTGTGATTGTGTAGTCTTTTCACCCGCCAGCCATGGAAATCAGCACTAATGGCTTAGATGAAGGCCTGTTTTGAGCATACCTTGCAAACTGTCCCACGGACAGAACTTGCTTCAGAGTACAGTCGTGTGCGTACCTGAGCTATTTGCCGAGTGCTGGTTGGATATGAGGGACTTTGCTAGGCAAAGCGGAGGGCCTCTCAGCTCCTGGGCCGGCGGGACAGTCAGACACGCAGGCCGGCCGGCCACGGTGCAGAGATTCGGAACTTCACCATACAGTTAAGTTCCCTCCCCAGGCTCATGTGAGAATCACTCACTTCCCACTCCCAGGAAGCTTGTTTCTACCCCGTCCCCTAAGCTGGGGCCTGCCAACATGCATTTTATCAAGTGCAAAAGGCGATCCTAATACAATCAGGGTTTGGCATCCAAGGCTGAAGGGGATGGGAAGATTGTTTTCGGGATGCAGTGGGAGCATTTAAACCTGAAGCATCACATGATCAGATGTGCAGGGCAGGGGGGTAGAGGGTGGCCCAGAGGGAGGTGGCCACAGCCAGGGAGATGGGCAAGCAGCACAGGGTAGATGAGACAGCAACAGGTCACACTAAGGAGGCGGCCGGGGGCTGGGGACGAGGGGACAGCCTGTGGGGTATTCTCTGTGTTGTTCATCCCTATCTCATTTCTCTCTGTGGTCAGGGGCTGTGTACATCTTGCATCTCTCTAGAAACCCCAAACTTTGCCCTCCACAGGGCGGTGCTGCAGTGGAAGGGGAAAGGGGGCATGGATCCCGGAACCGGAAGCCCTGGCCGAGTTAACCCGTATCTACAGCACCTGTATCCTGGGGTTGTGAGCGCTCAATGAATTAATTCATGTCAAGTGCTCAACAGCAGTTCCTGACCCATAATAAGTGCTTAAAGAGTGCCAGCTGCTATTATTATTATTATTATTATTATTATTATTATTATTATAATAATAACCACCACCACCCTCAACTCATAGTGGGTGAGGATTGTCATTATCCTATATGCTGTGTAAGTCCTAACATATTTTTTTACCAACCAGACAAACCCAAGGAAAGTACAAAATTCTGTTCTGTTTAGCTGGGTAATATGCAGCTAAACAGAACATCCTCTAAATCCTCTAAAAAACAGCTCGTGGGGGGTGAAGGACTTATGACTCTATCCCAGTTACCCCCAGGCTCAAACACCCATATGTACATTTCCCACAGTCCTTTGCAGGGGAACTTGATATACTCCCTCCAGAAGCCACAGTCTCTCCTGAGCAATCACTGCTCATTCTTCTGTTGGGCACAAGCAGACTGTGTGTGGTGTGCGACCCCAAAGAGATGAACCAATGACCAAAGGATTTCTGATGTTATTGCACTTTAGCCTACCCTGAAATCGAGGACTATATAAAAGACTTGATACACTAAAATACGAAGGAGAGTTCCAAAATATTTCATACAGGGTTGCCTACCGAGTAGAACTGCAATCATTTGTAATTGCAGCATGAAAAATAATACGAATGCAGCCACCTCAAGATGGAGTCGGAGCTGCCGCCCCGGAGGCACTGCCTGGCATCTCTTCCTCCTCCAGACTCTGGAAGGTTGAACCTGGGCAAAGGAGCCTTTGGACCGGCTACAGCAGCATCACACTCCCAACAACCACTTCTGCTTGCAGAACTAACAGGAAAGCCGACAGGAGGAGAGGTCTGAACACAATAGACATTCTTTAGAACTGGTATCACTATGTCAGCTTATTTGCACCAACAGAAAGTCCTTCGTCAGCTTATTAATACCCATAGAAATTGCTTCTTTCTACTGATGTAATATTCTCATCTTTTCTCATAAAACATCTTATGTTTTACCTCCGAATTGGAACACTTTGGATTTCTTCCCGAATCAGCGTTTCCAGAACAGCTATTTTCCTGGATCTTAAATAAATTATTATTTCTATTTTTACTTTGATAATTTTGATTTCCTTAAACTTTCTGATTATAACGTCGTTTTAAAAGCTAAGCTGGAAGTTTAGTCTCAGCCTTTGTTTGGGCAATGAAACAAAACAGCTGATCTTAAAGGAGATGACCAAAAGCATGTCTAAAAATCATTTTTGGCTGCCTCATAAAAAAAAGAAGCTCATTTCTAAAGATCTTCCAAAAACAGGCCCTTAAAAATTAAAGTGAAACATATCAACAATGATTTTAAGCAATCTACTTCTTTTGTATATACCTGGGATTAGAAAATTAAATCAAATTTGTTTTCCTCATGAAAGTACTTAATGAATCTGGACTCTACTATTTATCAATAATTCTGGCAAGTCTAGACTGAAGTTTATCCCCACACTATCTAAGTGCAAGAATTTATTTAAAATTAAACAGTAGGGGGGATGGTTAAACCATTCGGGAAGGGGGGGAGAAAAGTTTGCCACCCCAAAATGTCTTTTGGGGTATTAATTTTAAGCTGGTTATTTCTTAAAAAAAAAAAAAAAAAACATCAGGGAAAACCTTTGACTTCCCCCCAAACTGCTTAAAAGAATTTAGACAGAGGACCTGCTCCAGGAAGGGAGATTTCATAGACACCTATAGTTTAATATGGACTAGTGTGCTAGGGAAGAATTCGGCAAGGCCCACGGACCAGTCTCACTGTTGCAGGGGGCCCGAATGTTTGCTCCATCTCCATGTGAACTGGCTTTTTCCTCTTTGAAGTCCCGAACCACACTCCCCCTCTCCTTAGCTCAAGATGGAATATGAGCCTCAACTGCCTGGTTTATCCTTGGCTCTCATGTTCTCATGGAATCCCCCCTTATGTACATATGTAATTAAATTTCACTATTTTCTCCTGTTTACCTGTCTTATGCCATTTTAATCACTCAACCCACCAGAAGAACTAAGGAGGGGAAAAAGGGTAAAATTTCCACTCCCTAGTACTGTGGTTATGTAAGAGAATGTCTTTATTTTTAGGAAATATATATTGAAGTATTTAGAGAAAAAGGGACATTATGTTTGCAGCTTTCTCTCAAATGGATCAGAAAAAAAGTTAACATGAGAGAAAGGCGGGGAAGAATTATACAAATGTGATAAAGTATTGATATTAGGGGAACCTGGGTAAGGAGTATACAGAATTCTCTGTACTTTTAACTTTTTGTATATCTGAAATTATGTAAAAAATTTGAAAGAATACTATATAGATACCATGTATATTTTCAAAAAAGCAACAGATCACTCACTAAATAAAATATAACTGAAACCTCTGAAGCTCTGTATGTTTAATTACTTCTTTAACTTGACTATAACTTATTCTGTAAATCCAAATGAGACAGGTCTTACTTAACCTTACCTTGGCTTTCTCAAGGGTGTATCAGATAAGAAGAAGACTATACGGAAAAGAGGGAGTACAAAGCAGATGTGCCTTTGGAGGAGAGCTCAGGAGAGGGGACCCACTCATCTACCTCACCTTCTTCTCTTCTAGGGTCTCAGAGCAAGTGGGACATGCAGGGATAACTTGTATTAGATTTTAAAATGTGGGTGATTCTGCTTTATGTAAGTTTTCAAAAAATACAGCTCCTACTAGTAAGATGAGTTTCGGCTAAGGGTACGTTAACAGAAGAGTAATTGTGAACTTGATGCGGGCAAGAATTCGTGTCCGTCTCCTTCACTGACACACTCTGAGCACCACGGGCGGCGCCTGCGCGCAGTGGGAGTGCAAGCATGCAGCAGGCGCCGGACAGAGCAAGGGGCGCCTGTAGCCCCGCCTTCATTATTTGGTAATTTCTTGGCTTCAGGGTGTCGGGGGGCCTCTTGTAATGCACTGAAATTTATTCATAGCAGTGTATTTCTTTGCTAAGATTTTTGTATAATCTCCCCATTTAACAAGATCTTATTATGAGCTAGTGGCTTGAAAAACACCTTTTCAAACAAAGTGCTTTTGAAATGTTCTTAGACACTTTTTCAAATCTTGGTAAAATACATTTCTGTAGGCCATACGGCTCCCTTGAACATTGGCTATATATAAAATGGTAATATCTGAATCACTGGCATTATTCTACATGCTAATAAAGCAGTGTGGAAGGTAAAATAATAGTGACAAAAAATAAAATGCTCCAGTCTCTTGCATATATCCTTCAAAGGAAATGCACAAAAGGGGAGAAAACTCTGAAATAATGGAAAGCATTCTTCTTGCTGGCCAAACGAAAGGTTTATCATTCCTCTGAGACACTACCCAGTTTAATTCTTGGGGATGCTTTTTCTAGTGAGGTTGAAAGGGATCTCAGGATATTTTTAAGTCTCCTCTATCTCTTTCCTTCCTCCTTTCAAAGTCCTTTGGAAATCTGGATGGAAGGGAGAGGCGCAAGTCCAGCCAGGGGCCAGGGTGGGAAGTACCAGCGCCAAGGCCAGACCAGCCTTCCCTCCCACCCGCCTCTAATATTTTTATTCAAGAGAACTCATATTTAAAACAAAGCCTAAAACATACAAAGGGAATAGCAAGAGCAGAGAAAGAGAGAAAAGACAAAGGCGCAGCGCAAAACCAGAGGAGGAAGGAGGGACGATCAGGTTTGTCCCCGGATGCTGGGTGGGTTCAAAGACTGTCTTGCTTAAGCCTTGGTCTGTCTCACCATCAGCTCACCAAGGAGAATGGGAGAGAATGAACCCTGATCCATCACTACACGACAGGAGCCCAACTGGGCGTCCAGATGCCAGGGGCCACGGCTAGCAGGTGCCGACTGCTGACCCTGAACAAAAGCACTGATAGCAGCTGCATCACAGATACCATCTCGGTGACTCTTCAACATGCGGCTGTGAAGCAGGCATTCTTATTTCCTCATTTTGCAGAGAAACAATCTGCAAATGCTAAGGTCTAGAGAACACAAATAACTGCCCAAGGTTACTTAATACATTGTAACATCACATGAAACACAGTCTGGTTGTAAAGCAATGCTGTCCGTTTGTGTGTGTGTAATGTGGTGCTGGTGGTGGTGGGGAGGTGGTCAGAGACTGCCTGCAATTCTGATGAAACTGACATGATCTTGCTAAGGAAAAATGAATATGCATGGCTACGCCACACACAAGGACTCAAATGTGCACAGCTTGGGAAGGAGGGGGGAATGACTTCTGAAACTCAGTGGCAGTGCAGCTGACTAGGGCACCGGACAGCCCAAGACAGTGTTAACTGTCAGCTACGTCAGTGCAGCCTAAGGGATGGGTCCACCAAAGAGGGGAGGGGGCCTGGTTCACCACTACAGCCAAGAGGGTGGGGGAGTCGTCGTAGCCTCTCCTTCACTGTCTGGGGAAGAAAGGGACCCAGGGGCCGGACTGACTGTTAGGGAATCCGGAATATTAATGGGGTGATGTCATTAAAACTTTCGGATCGAACCCCAAAATTTCCCTGTTCATATTCAGCGTTTGCTCAAAAACTATAGATTATAATTTGGCTACCCACATAGGCCCCTACCTTCCAGGGCGGAATATACTGGCTGTGAGGATATGTGCATTCCCCATTTTAAATCAGTAAACGGGGTCTGTGTAGGGGTTCAGAACGAGTCACCCTGAGATGTATCTCTGTGATAAGCAGACTGTTTAGGGCTAAAGACAACTTTAACCTCAGGCTCAAGAGAAATTTCTGCCCCTCCTTCCTAGGAGAACTTGAATTAGGGGCCTTGCTCATAATAAAGAGATTATCGGAGAAAATGCCTTTTGACAGATCTGTAAGGCAGGACAAACCTTTCTTTACCAAATGTCTGCTCCTCTCATCATCCCGCACTGACGCTGCGAAGCCCCAGGGAGCGTCACCTCACCGCTGGCCCGGGAAGCCTTACGCGTTTCAGCCCCGCTTTCTGCCCCTGAACCTTCCGGGCATGCGGGGTCTCCGACTCTCTCATGCACGTGGGGCTCCCAAATAAATGTATGTATTCAATTTGGTTGCTTTTTCTCGCAAATAGTCTCATGTCTATTTGACTATCAGACCAGCCAGAAGGGCAGAGGCAGGTTGGTTCTGGCCCACACCCGACTGCACGCCTCCTGTGTGAACTTGCCCCAAAGACGGCCACGCAGTGGCCGAGAAGCGCAGGTGCAGCCTGTGGGGCTGGGTCACAGGCGGGGCCCCCTGCCTTTCTCCCGGGCTCCAGGAACCGGAACCAACCTTCGCTGCCCTTAGGAAAGTCATGGTCTAGAGCAGCGGTTTTCAAAGTGTGGCCTGGGAACCTCCCTTTTAAGAAGTGTGTGTGTGGGGGCTATAAAGTTAAAATTATTTTCATCATCATATTAAGCCATGTTTGTCCTTTTACTTTCTCATGAGTATTATGGACACTGTGACATGCTGCGACATCACAACAGAGCAGTGTGAGAATCCAGCTGTCTTCCATTAACCAGGATAGAAAAGAGGTTTGTAAAAATGTGTAAACAATATCATCTTCCTAACTTTTTTGTTGAAAATAGTCATAAAAATAAAGATACTATAATGGGTTTATTATTCTAAAACAAAGTAGTAAATATTTTCAAATTTCTTGGTCTTAATTTCTGATGTAGTAAATATCAACAGATAGAAACCCCTCACATAAGTCAAAGCTCTTGGTGGTCCTCAATAATGATGAGTGCAGAGGGGTTCCAGGACCAACGAGCTGGAGAACTATGGCTCCAGGGGCCCCAGACGGGCAGCAAAGGGGCCTCCACAAGCCTGTGCTTCCGGAGTGTTCCACAAGCCGCCTCCCACCGAGAGACTGAAGCTTCTCCCGAGCGCTACCTGTCCCTGCCTGGTGCCTGCCCCAGGCCTCTCTCCGGCTGTGTCTCACCTCTGCTTCCGTACAGCTCTGGGGGCAGGTCGTACGGCACGGGGAAGGCCGCTGCTGGCTCCTGGCTGCCCGAGAAGAATTTCAGTTTCACGGGGAAGCTGTCCAGGCCCTGCAGACACACAGAAGGAATCTATGATGGTACCTCATTTTCTGAAAAAGACACACTCAAGGAGCAATCATGTCTTTATGGCGCTCACACAAAACTCAAGTTATTTCACAGCTATTTTCAATGTTCAATAGGTCAAATATATTTACATCCTCCCCAAATGATTCTTTCCTGCGAATGAGAGGGTCAAATTTCAGAAATTAAATTTTAGCAGCTTGCAGACACTTTAATAAAGAATATAAAGATGCAAGAGAAAAACAATTTTAAATGTTATAGCCCATTTCAACTAACCAGTATGTACAATTTGCAGTGAGTGTTTAGAAGACTCTGTATAAAAATATCTCATAATACTTTCAATATTGCTATAGTAACAGGCTGCTCACTCCGGTGAAAGAAGAAATAAAAGTTGCTTTCATGTATAATGAAAGCATTCCAATATAACGTAACAAGAATATGAAAGTGAAAACTCTTCAAGACCCACCCAAATGGAAGGTTTGTTTCAGGAACTCGAGGACAGGGTATTCATTTTGGGCCTTAGTCAGGGTGCAGGTTAAAGCTCCGTATGGAGGTTGATGATGCACTAACCTCCGTTTCCTTCCGGCACAGGGCCCGTGCCTGCATGCGGGGGGCCTGATACCTTAGCTTTGTCTCCCAGCGCCTCCATGCATTCGTATCTCCTGTCTCCCTTCGAAGACTGTTCCGGCACTTTGCTTGCAAGTCTGTCTGTCTCTTTTGTCCACTCATCCAAACTATATCCACACTTCATATCCTAGACACCCACCTATTAGACAGTGCTAATGCCTTAGGAACCCAAAGAGCAAGGACTCTAGTTCTTCGTCCTGGTGATCACATCACTCAGCGTGGGGTGGGGGGGTGTAGTGGGGAGCTGGTCAGGGGGACAGCACAGGGCACGCTAAGAGTTGAGGTCGCGCTGCCCACGGGCCACCTGAGTTCCAGCCTTTGTGCTGACATCTACTGAGCTCTGTGAACGGCTCATGCTCGTGTTCACTCGTTCAACACAACACATGACTTTCCGAGACACTCCTCTGTGTCAGCGCAAGTGTTCGCCACTGACTCTCTAGGCGTCGCCACAAATGTTCCCATGCCTGTCCTTGTGGGGTGTACAGTCTAGCAGGGAGACAGTAAACAAACACATCCTAAAAAGTAAAATTACAATTTGTGATAAGCATTATATGAGAAGAGGGAATGGCAGGCCTGTTCTAGATTTGGGGAGAGGGCGTGGTCCACGGAAGCCTCCCTAAAGCATCAACATTAATGAAACCCTGAAGGATGTGTAGGATTGGTCAGGTGAGAGCAGGGAAATGATGTTCCAGGCAGAGGGAACAGCATCTGCAAAGGCCCAGAGGTGGCAAAGAGCTTATATTTCCCAAGAACTTCAGAAAGATGGTCCGTGGGACCCTGGGCCACCAATTTATTAGGCCTCAATCTCCTCATTTGTAAAACTGACATAAAAAAACCACCTGGATATTATCATAGTAATGTTTCTTATTTTAACAGTCAGCACAAGTCCTGAAGTCTCAGTGAGCCAGTGTTCAAGCAATGCGGAGCTGTAAAAATGGGATGAAAGCTCCTTCCCTGTTCAGTTGTAAGGCCTCTGTATGGGAGTAAACGAAGTAATGTGCACGGACGTGCCTTGTGCATGTTAAGGCCTCTGGAAAGGTGTGGGGCTGTTAGACCATCGACGAAGCTGTTCGTTAATAATACAGTGAGAGGCAGCATGTGATAGACACCTGGCAAAATTCTGGACAAAAAAGAAATGGCCTTTTACCAGTTGCAGGATAAGAAAAAGCTTTGTAGAAAATATTTTAGCTGGGCCTTGAACAATGGGTATAATTTGGATAGAGAGAGGTGGCGAGGAAGAACAGTGGGAAGGCCAGCTGAACCGAAGACGGAGCAGGCGTGCCGTGGGTTGTGAGCAAACTGACACAGAAGAGCAGGGCTGGGGAAGGCTGGAGACAACTCAGAGTCAGATGTGAAGGCTTTCCAACGGGAGACAGCGTGGCCGTCTGGGGTGGCACCTGGGCCCCGCCAGTGGCCACAGTGACTCGGGATGGGTGTGTGGCCCGCATCAGAGGTGTTGGGGAAGAGGCGGTCTCCCGGCTGGGCAGCCAATTAGTAAGGTGTGAGTCTGGAGCTGCCAGACGGGTGCCCTCCTGTCCGTCAAGCCTGACTCTCATAACGCAGCCCAACCCTTGCGTCCAGCCCTGCCTGAAGCGAGGGACTTGCCTCCTGTGCCTCCCTTTTTCCTCATACTGTCTGAGCTGGTTGTCCATCACTTATACCCCAAAGTGTCACAACCGCCCAGGTGCAGAGTGTGTCCTTTAACCTGACACACGGGGGGAGCTGCAGGTTTTCGAATGGAGTCCCCCCGTAAAGGCAGCCCGGCACGGACTGGAGAAGGATCGGAACTGCTAGGGCCAAAGACTTGCAACGGCTTAGCAGATGGTAAGGAGGACACACGTGCAAGTATCATCAAAACAAAAACTGAGATACAGAGAGGAGGTGTTTGCATGAGCGTGGCATCCGTGCTAGCAGCAAGGAATGGGCATGAAAGAGACCAAAGGAAGAATTCATGAAAGTCAGGGACATATGACGGCTGAGGAGGAGGGCGCAGGGAGCCCAGGACAGGACCCCACGGCCTCCTCTCCTCGGCCCCGCACCTCGTCCCACTCAGCAGAGGGCGGCCGGGGTGCCCGCTCCACAGCTCGCACCGGACTCTCTGCTTGCATCTCACCTCTGATGCATTCTGGATCTGAGGAGAATGTTAACAATCTCTTACTTGCAAACGTTACTTATTTGCTGTGCGACTCTAGGTCAGTGACTTAACCTTTTTCGTCCTCCATAGCCTCATCTATGAAATGCCTAGGCCTCATGAAATGCAATGACATGGATAAGTTAGCTAGAAAGATAACTGCCATGTGGATGTAAATCAGGATAACATAAGTACATTCAGGGTGTTCTCTGTGAGCTAATCACTGATAGTTTACAAATGTAGAAACAAAATTGGGGGATAAGTAGTTGTCCAAAGCCACACAGCTGTTACGTGGCAAGGTGGGAAATCAAACCTCGCCTTTCTAACTCTTGGCCCTAAGTTCCTTCCACTAAATAAATGAAAGGTCTCATATTCACCCATGAGGAGCCACAACGGGGGAAAAATTCCTTGCATATTTAAGAGGTGATATTAAGGCAGGCCAAGTCAGGATGCGCCCAATTCTGGAAACCTTTCTTCTTGACATTTTTAAAAAGGAAGAGGCCAGAGGTTGGAAGTGATGCCAATTAAATGGCTATTAAATAATTGATGGACTTTCAGATAAAGAAGACTTCCCTCTTCTCTTACTCCTGGCTTCGTTCTGTGATTGTGAAATGCACTTGGGGGAGGATGAAGGGCCTCTGGGCCTGGACCAGGCCTGACGGCTCCATTTCATGGTGCCTGACTTCACAGACGAGAAGGTTTGAGCTGTCCATGTCTGGCAGGACGCAACTTGTTTTTTTTTTTTTTTTTGAATGTCATTTCTGACCCAAATTCTAGGGTATTACATCTCTGTAAAAAAAGTACCACTTTTCCCTTCAATCTGGATGTCAAATAATTTGAAGCTGTCTTCTAATTATCGTTATTTATGTATCACAGTGGTATCACTTGGCATTTTGTGAAACAGAGGAAGGCGCCCTCCCAGGCACGAGTACTTAAAAGACAGTTAAGACGATACATTTATAAAACACCAGAGGAGAGGGTGGACGTGTGTCACACATGAGAAATTAGTGGCTTCTCCCTCCATCAGCTCTGGGAGTAAAAGAGCTGGTTATCGCGGTGACGGATTAGGTTGAGCAGCTTAGCGCAACCAGAGGACGGGAAGTGTGCTCAAAGTTCTGTCAGAGACGTAATGGATTTTTTAGCTGCACCTGAGGAGCATCCTCTAGCAGGAAGACCCCATGCATTTTCCTGGGTAAAACAGTGATGGCAGCTGAACCTTCCAGAGGGAGTGCACTTAATCCTAGAGGGGCCAGGTGGTAAGGAAGTGAGTTACAGGCCGGTGGCTGTCTTGTCCTTCCCGTCAGTCAGTAAACGGACATGGACAGGAAGCGCTTCCCGCTGGGGGCGCAGGAGCAGCTTCCTGGAGAGAAGGCCAGCGGGACGCCATCGTGGGTGCGCCGCCCGCGTAACATTCTGACGGAGGCGTCGCTCTCCTTCCCGCTTCTGCCGAACTGCTGTTGCTGACCCTGCCAGTCTGACCCCAACCCGCGCTCAGTGCTGGCTGAGCCCCAGGCGCCACCGCCAACGCTTCCCGGGTCACACTCTTAGCTCCCCAAGGATCCCATCCTGTCCCCACTTCAAGGCTGAGGAACAGGAGGCCTCCGAAGTAGAGCGGGGACCCAAAGCCTGACAGTGTGTAAGCGTGATCCCAGCTCCGTTCTCCGTCCTTTGGCTCCTCAAGACCTGACGCCCCTGAACCCTCAACTGACCCTGCTCCGGGAAAGCTCTTTTTCTTGGCCCTCAGCATCTCTCCATTGTGTTCGTCTACATTCTGTCTCTTTCCCAGTGACGCTGGAGCCTGAGGCCGGGCAGGGGCCCAGGCTCGCCCACGGGAAGGCAGCCGCCGCCACAGCCGACCTGACCTGTGCGCTGACCGGCACTCGCGCGGGGCGGGGGCGTGTCGGGAAGGGACGCCGGTCCAGCTCACAGCGGACCTGGGCATCACACAAGGGACCCTGGGCATCGTCGTGTGGGTCGAGGGGAGCCACTGAAGGTCGAAGGGCAGGTGGGCACGGCCGCAGCTGCAGAGCTGGGTTGTCGCCGAGATCAGAAGACAGAGAGCAGCAGCCGGGAGAAAATCTCCTGGCAGGGCAGATGGCAGCGGCAACTGGATGTGGATGGGGGAGGGGAGGAGCGTGAGAGGCAGGAACAGGACGCGGGGACCTGGGATGGTTGGCTGAGTGGTTCTGAAGAAACGCCCCTGCAGCAGCGCTGCCCAGCTGCGGCCTCC